GTTCTTTGAGCAAGGTGATGTTCATGTACGGCTCATTTTATACACCAGTWAAAAAAACATATACCTATGTCTTGAAYTTGGAAAAAAAATCAYATTTTATTTATCACTAAAAAGGGTTCAGTGACTGCGCATACGAAACTGGTGGGTTCGGTACCTCAAAAAAGGTTAAGAACCACTGATATAAACCAAACCATGACCAGTTGTGGCACTGACATGTTTGGTCTTCATAGACAAACYACAACCGGGCCAGTTATGGCATTGACAGATATGGGCCACATAAACCAAACCATGACCGGGCCAATTATGGCATGCCATCCTAAATCTTGGCCCATTTTCATTCCTTACTTTTCCACTGAATTCCTTGTATTTCTCACATCAATGTGATTGATTGCAGCTGTAACAGCCTTTAAACATTGCTGCAATCAATCACWATCACTAATGAGAAGATAATGGATCTCATACATGTCAAATTAAGACATAATAAAACCTTCAGGTGGATTTATGGAAATATGTCAGCATGTCTGTTTAAAACTCACWGCATGGATTTAAAAAATCACTAATAATTTGAACTTTGTGTACCTAATACTTGTTTTTTTAAAACAATATCATTGTTTCATCCTAAAACCCGACTGTAAACAAAAACAAAGCTGTGAACTCAATGAGGCACCAAGTTAATAATTAATTAATAATTAGAATTAGCAACTTATCTGTGGTGTGCATTCACGGAAAACCTCAAGGAAGTTGGACTCCCCATCATAAGCTGAGCTGAAAATTAACAGGTTCCAGTCCGACGACCAATCTGTGCATCTGGACCACGGTGTTAAAGAAACAGTTCCACCTTTTTTGAAGTCAGCTTCTGTTTAAATATGAATATCTAGTGGCTAATTTGCTGAAGACAGCTTTCTGAATAACCTCAATCTGGAGAAAGGACTGATGAGCCAACGGCTGGTTCAAGTGGGACCAAGACCAGTGTGGATTGCTGCTCCTAACTGCCCATGCAAACTCTGTTTTATTGGTTTGCATGGAGAACTGCTGACCAGGAGTGGAGATATTATCGAGCAGTGGACGGAGCTCATCCAGGACTTTCTCAACCCGTTCACCATCTTTGAGGAGGCAGAGTCTGAGGATTGAGATTCTCCCTGAGATGAAGACTGGATGTTGTGTTGCTGTCATGGTGGACACGTCTCTTCAGTCTCACATGGAGGACTGGGAAAATCTGCACAGTTTCAGACCAGGGTGGTAGTTCTTATTTTTAAAAGTGGGAGGACCAGAGAGTGTGTTCCAACAGATCCAGATCACTGGAGGGATTATTCAGTCTCTCTGGTCTGTACGTGTATTTGGCTGAAGCAGAGGATCAGAACTGAGACAACAAAAATCAGTTTTGGTACACTGTAAAAGTTAACCATTTTGAAACGAGCTCAAAAATGCTAGTTTATGGTCTGAATCTTCTCATAATCTGTGAAATAATCTGTCAGTGCAGTAAGACARYTGCAATTCTTGAAATATGGAAACATTTCCAGGCTAACAAGATAAATAATCTAATATTCTGCAATTGCTTATATATAAGTCTCAATACAAGATCAAAAATACATTTTGGCTGGAAATAAGATTATAAGACTTGGACAATTTCTGCAGTGTAATGGTTCGATTCAGACCAGTCATTTTGGCTCAGAATGAATTTATTAAACTATTGTTTACCTTCTTTAAACAGCTCTGCTGATGCAATTTAAGCTTGTAAATAAATGTAAACTTATATCAATTTAATTATTGCTTTTCAGTTTTAAGCATTACATAAAAACAAATTCCACTGCTTACACAGGAGTAGTAATAAAATGTATTTAAGTATGTTTAAACAGAACTAAGAAATAGGGAGAATTCCTTAAACAGTGGCTCCTAAAGTTGACCTCACTGTACTAAAACAAGATGATCYGAAGAGGATTTTCAGAATGGCATTTAAAAAAAAAAAGTTTGCCTTAGTTGTTGGGAGTGAGGTTAGCGTGTTTCAAAATGATACAATTAGCATATAAATATTGTTATTGTGCTCATATTCATTTGATGACACCAGTGTTTATCACCTAATAGTTGGGGGCATAAGTTCTCTGCTGCTGTTATTTTGTGGTTAAAAGCTGAAAGGTTTRGGAACCATTGCTTGAAAGATTTGGTCTAAAATACTAAAAATAACAAACTTGGCGTAGTATAAAGTTATGGGTTTTATGCACTCAAAAAAATTGTGGATTTGATTTAAAAAAATTATGTTGACTGGTTTCTTTCAACTGAACTGCGTAAAGGTAACGCATAGAGTAAATGTAAACAAAGTAAATACATTTGCATTCAATGCAGATGACTTCATTTTTTAAAATTAAATCAATTATATTGGTTTTTCCCAGCTAATTCACCACAAGGGCAGACCGTGCAGTGCAATAACCCAAGAGCTCCGTCTCAGACTCTCAAGGCCTTCGTTAGCAGGTCAAGGTCGGAGTTAAAAGAAGGGTATAAAGGTGCACTTTGTCTAAAGAAAGCTTCTTTTCTCTAAAAAAATAAATTTAAAAAAATGACAACGCTGGAAATGAATTAAACCACTTTCAGTTCAACTTCTCCAAAACAGAATTATTCTTGCAGTCGTTTTATTCAATAAGATGTAAAATAAAGTGATTAAACAGAACAAAAGGCAAATATTAGTTTAACCCCAAAAACAAGGATTAATTCTTTTGAGTGGGTTACATTCCTTTACATATTACATGAAACGAATTATAAAAGTAACTTAACTAAATGCAAACACTGACCTCTTAACAGCTGGATTCCATCTGTTTGTGCTGAAACACTCAGTCATCAGCTCAAAACTAAATAAACATTTACAGAAGCACATCAGTGCTTTCATGTTTATATTATTTTAACAGAACACTAAAAAAAGAAGGTTTAATGTGTGAACAGAAGAAAATGCCATTCACTGTTAAAGTCTGAAAACAAGTTATTGAAAATCCTTTAGAGTTAAATTTTTTTAGCACTTTAATGTTTGTTTGTTATGCAGGTTTGTGTATGAGTCCAGTAAAGTTTCACATCCTGGTTAGGATTTGGAAGCTCCCTTTGAGATGGCAAAGCCGATGAGGCCCGCTAAGCCCGCCACACCTAGGCCGATCCCCCCGACAATCGCCATGCCAACCAAACCATCTAAACAAACAAACAAACAAACAAGACGTAAGAGTCAGAGAACAGCTTCTAAATSAAGGTATTTTTGTTTTCCAGATACTATATCTCATGTAAATTCTCCTTTACCTTTCCTCAAAGCATTTTCGATGAGCTTCTCCAGCTCCAGAGCCTGCTTGTTCCCCGGCTCGTTCCTCAGAAGAGTCCGGATGTACTTCAAGGCCTTTTCATACTCCTGGAAAATTAAACAGGCAGGAGAAAGTCTTCAGCAATGAAAATAAGAATAATCCCAACTGGTTGTAGATTCACTGAAGCACATTATTTCCCAGTTATCTCATTTTGCACAGAAAGTTTCAGAGGAGATCATTATGACCCGCAACTCATAAAGACTTTATATGTTATCTTCAGAGAACAGTGAAGGGAGAGGGCAGAGACAGGCACACTGCTGTACCAGAATCAAACACACGTCAGATAACTCTCAGAGCAACAGCAATCAAACAATATTACAAGATGCTATTTTTGTGTTTTGGTCGGTGGTCAGTGGTGCAGGCAGGAAGAGAATTCAGCCCAAAACAAATCTTTTCATGCTACTTCGCTCGCTGTGGTGACCTCTGAAGAAAGGAGTAGTCCAAAAAAAAAAAAAAAACTCTTCAATTCTGTAAACAATCTTCCGCAATAAATATAATCCAAATGAGCACTGATGGACACCTGAAGACGTCTGCTGTTAAGTTACAAATCATTTAGTCAAATCTGAGGAACTTGGGTGTGTTTTTAACCTGTCTGTGTGTCTTTTAGGTCAACCAAACAGCCGCTTTAGTTTTAACTTCACAATAGGAAAAATCCAGGTGCTCTGGTTTCATTTAAAAAGGGCTGAACATCACAGATTGTCCAAATACACATATTGGGCCTCATGCAAGAACATGTTCGTATTCTTATCCTAAATTTCTCTTACTTTTGTTTGTATGAAGGGTTCGTA